TCTCATATTCAGCTCTCGCTAATGATATGTCTTGAAGCCATATGAATTAATTACGTCCTATATACCCGTAATCAGTTGAAGATCTTACCGATATGTAAGAGCTTCCTCTCTCAATATAAGTGCAATGCTTATTTCTGAATGAATTAGGCTTGAGAAGCATAATGGATAAGTCACGATTGTTTTTAACTGTGCATTTATTCCCTCCGGTCATCCCGATTTCTATAAAAACAGTTCCTTGTCGAGGTGTTCCCCTGAGGTAAAAGTCGTTACTCCCAATCTTCTCAATAGGTCGAACTGCAAACTTCCTGAGATTAATGTACCGTAATCCAAAGAACTTCGTACAAATCTCTTCTTGAGAAGCTATGTGGTGGTGGAGGTTTGTGCGATATATCCATGCGTTTATTGATCACATTCATTGATTTCTGTACGCTGTTATTCAGGAATTAATGTGCCTATATGACTTCAGAAACCTGGATCGACGTCGCGAAACGTCTCGGTATGCGGCGCGTGATCGTCGTGGGAAGGAGGCGAACATTTTCACACACCTCAAAGAAGTGGTGCCGATAGTGGAAGAAGCCACTGTAACACATGTGGATCGTATTGCTTTATTACGTGTTGCATCGACNATGTTTCGATTACGAAAACATGCCTCTAAACGTTCGTTTAATTTCATTCTTTTATTTAAAGTTCTGCAGTTGTTGTTGTTTCCAAGTTTATATTCTTGACTTTCCCGACCCTTTTTGCAACTTTGACCTTTTTGCAAATATGTATCCATCAATTACTCTCACACATCATTTCTATCCTCGTCTCTTCATGTTTTTTTTTGAATGTATGGATGGCCAGGACTGTTAAGCTAAACTTTACATCAGTGTGTTAGATGCTGTTTCTATGCTTTCTCAAATGATCAGTTTTGAGCGCGCGTTCCATCTGATTAAGGAATTATCAATTACTTCAATTCTCTTTCTTAGTTGATACTTATACAGGTAAAAGTTATCATCTACTAGGAAAAAAAGCCAAACTCAAGAATCTTATTCTTAATTTGTAGCGATATTTTGCTCGAAGAGTCAATGGCTCAGTGTATCATTCGTTTTCGTGCATGTCCACATAATTGTTGCTCTTTGGTGATGCATCAACGCAATGTTTCCGTCCGACAACTTTTTATTGATAATATCTTTAGAAAATGATCTTCGTAAGGAAATTTGATTTGATTTATGACCAATATAGTCTTGTCGTATGACACGATTCATTGAAAGTTCATGGTTTGTTGAAACATTTTATGTTTAGAAATTTAATTCAATTCTGGTGTTTTTCAAAACTTGA